GGATATTGCGAAGACTATCTGCAGCTCGCTGCTTTCCGCCACCCATATTCGGATGATGACACTGGATGCAATCATTCATCCTATTCCAAACAGCTTCCATTGGGTTAAGATCAGGCAAGTTGGCCGGCCAGAAAATCGGTTGAATGAGCCTCTGATTCATATCTTCCATGGTACATGCTGCTGCGTGAGCAGGAGCATTATCCTACATTACGAAAATACAAGGTCTCATCGAGACTATGCCATCAATATTAGGAACTATTTTTTCGCAATGTTTTTGGGAGTTTTTATATCCCCACTCCTTCTCCCAAAATAAAAAGAGGCCTTTTTCTGGCCCTGCAAAGCAACCCCAGAACATCCAGCCGACCCTTTTCGATTTTTTCTCTAACACAATAAGTGTTGTATTCTTGGGAAGTCTAGTTCGTAATATTAGAGCATCAAATTACTATTTTATTAAAGGGGAAATACGAACATGGCCCTTGTAACCAATACTCTAGAATTTCTTCCATCCTCTACCCAGGTTTTGTCCGTTCCTAAAACTGGTGTCCAGTCTTCATGTGTCCAATTAAGATGAGTTTCGGGCCATTCTCCGGGTGTCTCCATAGTATTTTGAGTTACTGGAGGCTTTAGACAAGCCACATGTTGTTGATATCATCTTTTTTTAAGTTCTCTTTGTAATACTCGCTCGCTAGCACCAAGGTGTCCAAAGGATCCAGAGGCGGGTTCTGAAAATGTTTTGCAGCAGATTTCAGGTGAAGACTCAACGTAAGATATAATCTGATTGATATCATCTTCTTTCAGTCTTGAGGATGTTATTTTTCTCTTTTTGGTGGAGACAGTTATGCGACGCAGTGAATAATTAACTTGTCCCTGATAAGTACCTAGTTGCGCAGAAACATGCGTCTGATTCTTGCCAGATTCATGGAGCCCATATATTTCAAAAAAATTTGATTTCAATTTGTTCATTCTTAATTTTTAGACTTACTAAAATTTTTTGATCCCTGGATAATTGTTTGATTCGAGGTGTTGAATGTGGAGTTTGAGGTGGATTCAATTGCAAAATAAGGTTAGTATTGAGTAAAGCCATGTGTCTTCCGGAATAAATAATTTTGTATTTAAAAAATCTCTTTCCTATTGTCACTGAAGCACAAGATGAGGAGAGCTGTATAATTTTTTTAGCGGTCGGCAGTCACCAAAGTGATGGCAAAGAACTAGAGAGCAGGTTGGATTTGCATAAAACTAGAGGGACATGAAAACAAATTGTGCCCTTGACTTGGGCCTGGAAATCCAGTACAAGGATTGTATAACATTCCTAAATGAGCGCTAACAGGGCTACAGCCCCTGAAGCGAATATGCGCCCCATTTAAATCCACTGAAAACTTGAAATTGTGGTACCATAGTAGAAACCCAAGGTTCTTGAATTAGTATCACATTAGCCCCACATTTTGAGGTCAGTTCTCGGTATTGTGCTCAGCCATATTTGATGCAAAACATGACTATGACGCTTGGGTAGCAAGGTTATTGTTAGATGAGGCGCAAGGCTGGACGGGTCACATTAAGTGGTGTGGTGGGTTTGCTTGGCTGAGATAGATAGCATAAGAAAGTTTAGCAGGCTTTGTGATTGGTCAGTAAACGAGCTAAAAGGATATAAAACCATAGACATTTCAACTGTAAATAATGAATCAAGCACATTCACATCTATTCATCACTCTCACACTTCCACTTCCAATATTGCAGCAGTCATTGCAATTGTTCGTTCCCCATTTCATAGGCCAAGTAAAACTATTCGGATTGGGTCCTGGTCAACAATGTCTAGCCTAATTGTGCTATGTTGCAGGCTACTGTTCCAATTATTCATGGGGTCATCATCAGGGTTGTGAGTAGTTTCGGTTTTGGTGTGGGTTTTTAGATTGATACGTAAGCGTGTCACATAGTAGTCAGACATGCGACTCGAGTAGCATATGCACGGTAGACCTCAAACCCAAAATGATGATACGAATCAGGCTTTACATGCTACGTCCTGTATGGCTAGCGTGGTTGGAATATGGGGAATTTACCTGTAGATAGATAAAGACGTTGTAGCCATCTGATAGTTGGGACAAGTCTTCTACAATATTATATCGGAATCAATACTAGCCTCTCATTAAGCAATCTCATGAATTATTTCCAATGTCTGTGATAACAGACATACATATACAATATTGACAACAACTTTAAAGTCGATAAAAAACACTAGGGCGGAGTTGTGAGCAGAGGCACGTCTACCAACATTGATCCGGAAGAATTAGGGGCCTGAGATTTTCTGCTTTCTTCGGTTCCTGTTTCGGCACCTCATAATGACTCCTCAAGGGAGAACAGGATAGTAAACTTAGATGCCCAGCCTATTGTTAGAACAGGAGCTGGAATTGTGGTGAACGAGGGCTGCGTGGAAGGAGACCCAGCGGGGGGTTCTGGAGCGGGCCGGGGAGTTTTGAGAGCCAACCAGGGCTTGTGTCCTTTCTGGCACACAACCCGCATTCTCTCCTTGTCTCAGCAAATAAATTCTCTGTTAGCTCGGAAGGGTCTTGTGGGGCATCCAGTGGAAGAGACCATGTGCGAGCCAGCACAATTAAGACAATTTATCGGTGTCATACATGGGCCGTTGTGTGAGCCTGACTCACAAAGTCCGCAACGAGCTCTCCTGGTGCAAGTATTGATGCTGTGGAATCCATGGCAGCGCTGATAGACTTGGAGGCGTGGGCAATTGTCAGCCAGTCGAATTTGGCGTAACGAGCAAATAAGCGGACTCTGGAGGGGAGTTTATCTGCAGCTTGCTTTTCAACTACTAGTCGGAGAGTACCTTCCCATTCTGGTGATGCCAGAGAGTTACGCGTTCAGGTGATGGAAAGAATTGCTTTTGTATTGATTTTTGCTGCTGCAAGTTGTTCCCAAATGTCTGCAACGGAAAGGGCTGTGGGAGATCCGGAAGCATTGTACCCATATTTGGGGACTGGGCTAATGAGAAAGTCCTCTCATTTTTTCTGTCTTTCGATAGGCACGCCTCCTGTAGCGGGCTATAGTGCAAGGGCTGCTTGTATGAGTTCGGGGGCTTGCTCGGATGAGACGGCCACAAGGGCTATCTCAGAAGGGACCGATCTGATGTCCTTGATTAGTTCCGGTTTTTGGAGAAAGATTCTCAGCTTTATACAGACCAAAAGAGAATCTTGGAATCTCAGAGGGTGGTCAGGCGCTAGGCGTATCATAACTCTAGAGTCCGGAATATGTTTTTTCTTTGAACTTGTAGCCCTGCGCATAGCCATTGGAGGGGGTAGAGGTACAGACAAGTTCTTCTTTGCAGCATTTGCGTAAGTAGAACTTGCGGACGGTTCTAATTGTGGGGCTAGCTGTGTGCTAACTTTTACGTTTGCAGTAGTTTGAGATTGCTCGAGGACAGGGAGGCCTGCAATGACTCGTGCTGTGCTTCGCGTCACAATAGCTTTGAGGTCGGCAGCGACTATTGGCGGTAGACCGCGCAGATGTTGGGCTTCAGCATTTTGCCAGGCCTATCACACACATGATGTAAAATAGATGATAAATTTAGGCCTACTGAACCTAGTGATGAGAATAATCGGGTATGTGGATGAGGTATCCTCTCCTTGTAATTATCTCGAGCTTTACTATTTCACCCAGGACATGGAGCTCAGGATGTTCAGGATGACCAGGACTAGCAAAGCTCCAGCTCGAAATATTTTGATCTCCAATACCTGTTATTTTGGGAATTGAGGCGAAGATAATCTCTCCCAGAAATAGTTTGAGTTTGTCTCAGTTCGAGGTATAGATGCTGGGGCAATCAAACATACCGAGGTTGATTATTATTTTCTACACCACAATGTGTGTGTCCTAACTCAACTATTTATACACTTATTAGGCTATCTTGAATATTCCTTCCTGTCTGATACTAGCTTCTATTTTGTTCCCCTGATACCAGTTCACAGTCTCACTGCCAGTTGCTAGAATCTTGTAGTAATGTTCTGAATAAACTAGAGTGAAGTTTTGCCTTTCACAGAATTGTTGAGGCATGTGATTAATATCACGTGATACAGGACAATTAGCGGCTCACTAGCCGCTACAGAGTTGGATATAAGCATCAGGGCCGGAAATATCAAGAATGCCTACTGTTTAATCTATATATCTGGAGATAACCAGACCTTAGTGTTCGATGATTCAGGTCTGGCCTTCTTGTGCTGACTATTTTCTCTGCTTTGCTGTCTACATTTCATGGATCATTGTGGCATAGCATATTATGAAACGCCATGTAGACGGCTAAGTTAAAACACAAATAATAGTTCAATGCACTTCTAAATCCAGCAAGGAAGACTGATAAGAATGGGTTGGTTTCATTAGGTGATGTGTAGCAGATTGTTGGGCATGGGGGCTGTGTCCTACGTGCTATTTGTTAATTTTATGTATATAAATACTCGGCGTGAAGAAGCATTATTCTTTACGCAACGTCTTCTTCAATTACTTTAACCATACATTTGTTTACCCATCTCTTCTTCGGGAAGACCATTTATCTATTTCCAGCTCTTCATCAGCAAGACCCACGTGTAGCCTCTATCGCTACTATCTACCTATTTGTCTCTTCCTAGAAAAGACCAGTCATCCCTTCGACCCACTCGTCACCTTCATCTACTATCTAGATCTTCGTTAGACCACATACGCACCCTGTGGAACACTGTCCTAACCTCGCCTTGAAACTATATGCCGCTTCTGACAAGAGCATAATGGTGATCTCATTGTTCTACATTTTTATTTTTCAATTCACCTTAATCTCTTCTAGTTACAGATCCAGTACGGACTTTAATTCTATTTGATTCACTCGACTCTCAGTGTCTGACATATCATTCGAACCACCCAGTTATGCTAACAGGTAGGAGACCGACATCAATCATCATCTCAAATATCTAACAATTATGGTTAGTCATATCGATACATATCAAGAGAATGTGTTGGAGAACAATTACTTACATGAAACCACAAGGTTCTAAGATATCGTCTTCGTCTTCGACAGAAGTGCGCCTGATTAAGCCCGCTATTTGTTTGTCTAAGTTGAATATAACAAAATAATGTGGCTCTGGGCCCTCTAGAAAATTGTAGCTATTGGTTAATATTGAAGTACTTGGAAAGCAACTGAATATCATGGATTCTATTATTACCTTTCATAATGTGATACCATAGTTCTCCATGAATGTCGTACTCAAGATATTCATATTTAAGAGGATATTGATCCTCTGATGTATTGGTAATCATATATTCACTTGCTCCCAGAACTACTTGCATGAGTTCAAATTTTGTGAATCTTTTCCCATCTGGGCACTGGAAATTGAATTCTTGGTTCGGATCAGGCGATGGTAATGGGACTGGTAATGGAGCTTGTATTGGCGCTATTGAAAAAGCTTTCACTTGCGCTAAGATGCAGAAGAGCGTGGAAGCGCCGCTGATGGTGGAAAGCTTCATTGTAGAATGTTCTGTAGCTGTATATCTTCCGAATTTAAGGGCTATGAAAAGCTGAAATTTGAAGATTGAAAATTGATAAAAATGAAGTACAGAATCAAAATGGCTGGTTGGTGATTTCAGGATGCAGTTAATCTACACTCGTTTTTAGCCACAATGTGGCTTGGCAAGTTCAATCAAGCATGTGTGAACCATTGGAGTTATGAGGCATTTGCAATGTTAGTTTAACCCATGTTAATTACTTCTTATTCCACCTTTGTGGGAACTGAAATTGCAAAGTCCCACTCGCCTTCTGTGGTGAATAATTGTCCCGAGAATAGGCCGTACGGCTAATCATGGAGATGCAGGGGAATAGGATTGGTCTCATTACTGGCATTTATTTGCCTGACACATTCTACGAGAGGATTCGGGAATTTGGAAGCTGGTTGCACTAACCCCTCGATCTACAATTGTTATAATTACGAGGTTAGATTGATAAGTATTGTGGGAGGATAGTATATATATATATATATAAAGAAGAATGTGGAATGAATATTCTGGTGGTGGGCAAATGTATTTAGACTATCTGAGGATAATATGGATATCTAAAGATAAACACATATTCTACCTAAGAAGTAAATGGACCTGATAATATACATGTACGATCTATCCTACAGCCGTGTCCATTGATTGTCTGATGTACTCATGTAATGCGTATCGACCTTGTTTGATCCTTAAGCTCCTGATGATGAGCACGACTCACATTTGAGTCAGTCATTAATATAAGCTTGTATATTTAAAGTCATGTTGTTTCATCACTGAGTCTTGTCTATGAAGCCCTTGCTTCCTTGCGCAGACTAGGATCACAACAACAATCCATCAGCATGAATGATAAACTTTAAAATTACTGTATAGATCTGCTCTCATTGTGAGTGACAACTCTCTTGCACAAATATCAGAAGGCATTTAAATCCCTAATAGATAACATGGCGCACTTGATATCAGTCCGAGACATTGTTGATAAACTTTATCTTGGAAATGGAGTCACTGGGTGTTTTTGATGTATTGGCTCTCCATTTTTTCTTGGCTGCCAACACGATCTCGTTTGTGGTAAAGGGATGGGAATGAGTAATAGATGGCTTGAAGTGCTCGCTTATTACATACCTTGACAAGAGTTCAGTCGACACTGTAAACCCCGCCATAGTTGGATGGTGCAGTGGTATATCATCTTGGCCAGCCTTCCAAGTAGAGTCTGGAAAGCTTAGAGGGATATCCCACTCGAGACAGATGTCTGTTTGTTCGAGTCCAGTAAGACCCACACACCACTCTCTCTTGCGGTGATATTGTACTTGTTGGATAATGAAAGTACACTCGGATAGCCACATGTTTTCCACGCTCTTCCCTGTGGCGGGTATGCACGGAAGAGGTAGTACGGTGTAAGGGTTAACCTCGAGTGGTATCTGCAAATGAAATCTGAGTTTGAGTGTTCTAAACGTCAAATTGAGTCGTCCTACCTAAAATATCTTCCGATAAAACCAGCATGGGCCTCCAGGCGCCAAATCAGGATGGATGGGCTATTAATTTATTTATTATCAGTGAGAGTTCATATTTAATACCTACTGACACCCTTTGGCCACGGTGGGGTGGTTATTCCAGTAGTATTTGGGCTCTGATCGAAGGAATTTGAAGTGGATTCTATGACAGCAAGCTTTTGCTTGACTGCCTTTCTCGGCGTAGCGTGGGGAATGGACCGAGAGGGATTAGTTGATATAGTATGGGTCAGTGCCGTGGATGGGTGCAATGGGTGAATTGGGTGAATTGGGGCAATTTCTCTCCACCTCGCGCTGAACTACTGCATTCGGATTTAGCAAGACCTTATGCCGCTTGGGAGGCTAGTCAGTTTTTTGACGCTGCCAAGCGACCCAATGCGAAAACCACTTCTCCTACTACTATTCTTTGATCAGCTTTTTTATTGATTCCTAGAATATTCCGCCAATTTTGTCGTGCGATATTTCCGACACTTATTGTTCCTGTCAGTAAATCTCAGGTTTGCAGTGATATCACAGCGGACGATAAGTAGGTATTCAATTGATTTATGAAGTATATTCTCTATTACCTACTTCGCGTATTTTGTAAGCTACAAAAATCAAGCTACACCATTGTAATGTCTGGTTGTAACGGCAAATTCCCTGCAGCCTATGCTATACAGCACTGACATATTTATAGTGTCAGCGCTAAGTTATGCTCGCATTGAAAGTCTGGACTTACCCATGTTTGAAACGTCGTTGGTAACTAGCCCACACCCAGATAGTGGGAACCCGACGGGAGGACAGCTACTAGTTTTCGGAATATTGGAATCATGTAAATAAATAGGGCTTTGGATGTAACATTGCTTTTTTTTTCAGTTAATAAACTCACCTTTTGACATGCAAACGCTCAAGCTTTATTTACCAGAACCGTTACAGTCATACTTTGTTTTGTTATTACCATCGATCTGAGTAATGAAGTTCCTCTTGTTCCTGCTCTACAGAGAATTCCACATGAACTAAGTGATCAATACAAAATTGCTATTAAGCCCTATTCAACATTGCGTAAACTCCTTCTGCTACAATGTAACTTGCTATTCCAACTACTCATAGTTCAAAGTAAAAGCTATGAGTATTTTGACTTTAGTGTGGATTATTGGATTGACACCTGAGCCTGGTACAAAGTCAGCTAGCAAGAGGCTCAAGCAGCAAAGCACATGGAAAACCTGAGCTCCAAAACAATGATATGGTGTTAAGGGCGAAGAGAATTACGGACACTGCATGTAACCAGCACCACAAAGAATTGTTAAAATTGGCGCTACTTGGCAATGGAGAGTAGCATCAACACGGAACATAATAAGGTTCTATTATTACTAGCCACATTCATGACGGCTCATACATTGACCAGCCTCCCAATTATTTAGCACAAACAAGTGAATTTTGTCCTTCACTTAGATGTAGTAATTAGTTTAAATAGCGCTCTGACAATAAGTTGGTTTAATCAACAACTCTCCACTATAGTTTTCAGACTCTTCAATCTCCCAACTCGCTTCACTAGGTGATATTAAATACAAGCCTAACAGCTTACGCTTCTCTACCAATCTTCTATTCCATCAAGAATTAATAATTTTCTATAGAGATTAACTACAAGATATCTACTACATTAAATATGCCCTCTGTAGCTACCAGTGATCTTGATTCCTGGCACGTATTCCTTCACTACTGAGTGATCTGTTTCCCAGCCTCAGCATATATATATATATTTGTTTTATCATATTAAAGTCCTAAGCTAAAGCTCTAGGTCCACCATAGGTACAAGACTGGTGGAGCCGGCAGGGATCACTACTTACAGGCCTAGCTCATTCCAACCGCGAGACCTGCTACAGAAAAAGTGGGAGGTAAATTATAACTCAGAAGACACCATCCACTCCGACTCCGAAATTGCGTCTCCATCCTCCTACCCTAAATTCAAGTACATAAAAGATTTCCTCAGAGTAACGACACTTCTCGCATCGATCCCTTTCGTGTCATGCATTGTGGCAATGACTAGTTTATCTGATCCCCACTGAGAGTAGTGGATAAGTGAGCAGGTCGTCTGTCAAAACAGCCGGTTTCCTCCGCAAATTTTTTGAAGCTATTGTGGCACTTGGGCCCGAGAAGCTTTTTGACAAAGTCAGCGTGGGACATTGACTTTCTGAGCCTACTCGTTTGTTGTACGTGGTGACTACAGAGGATGAAAAGGGTTGGAGTAGTTTCCTTCCCGCAAGAGCACTCCATAGGACTGTATGGATTGTTGAAACGGCGATGGTATGCCGCAAAATTGCCGTGACCCGTTCATGCTGCAATTAGTGCCCGGAGGAGGTGTCTAGAGAGGGACAGTTCGGGTGGTCTGCGTCTACACACCTGTAGGTTGAGTTGGCAGTATTTAGGCGGACAGGCCTCTTCTCACCAACTGTCTAGCAGCCTTTGTCGTCTGCGATTCATGAGACCACGTAGATATGCCAGAGTACATGATCCTGGCGATGTATCTTGGCTAGGTAACTCTCGGAGGGCGGCACGGGCAATGGTGTCTGCCTCCTCGTTACCTTGTATCCCTGCGTGCCCTGGCACCCATTTTACCAATACTTTTGCCACGTTACTTAATGCGTGGAAGCTTCGTACTTCTTTGAGGTGAGTTGAGGACGAGCCCGTTGTCAGTGCGTTTACAGCCTGCTGGCTGTCTATAAACATGTGGATTTGCTGCGATCCTCTGTTACAGGCTGCACCTATCTTCAAGTGAATGTCGCACGGACAATTATCATTATTACGTCATTAGCCTTGCTATCTAAAGAGATGTCCAACTTGGCCATACAAATACGGGGTTGCAACAAATATGGAAACAAGATATTGTTGCAGCAAGTATCACATGGAATCATGGGCCGATACGACCCAGATTTGCTATGACAAGCCCACTCGGAATATCAAGGATATGGTGTAGTAGAATAGATACTGAGGTTAGCACATTGGGAGTTGGAACACTTTAAGTAGCCTCCCCTCGGTGGACAGTTCCGAGATGTATGTAGAAAATAGACAGTAATTGGCCACCATTCCTTTACTATATTGTTTTGATGATCGCCCACCACACCCTCCTAGTTTCCTGCATTTTTCGCTCTCCAAGAACTCCAGTGCGGCCTCCAGAGCCTTCCTTGCTCCAATTATCTCTGCTGTTACGGGTCCACAACTAATGTCGATCCCTCGCATATTAGCGCGCACTTGGCATATATGTAGAACGTGTTTTCCCTCTGTATTTACCTCTCATTCTTCATAGAGAATCTGAATAGACTACTTTCCCTCGTTTGATTGGCTAAATCACGACCTGTTTCGTGACATCTGCATCCAGCACCTCTCCCCCATCCTTGATGCCACTTCCTTTGACGATAAGTTTCCCATCCTTTTACAGAACGAAACTACAGGAGGAGCTCCCGTGTTCTTCCGATGAAGCATCCGAGTATGAGCAAA